CTGGAGGGTTTTCTGACCTAATTAAACTCTACTTTTGGCCAAGTGTATTTCTCTTATTGTAATGTGCCACCTCCCTTCAGGGGTTATCAGGGCCACAGATGTTATGACTGTACAGTAAGAATGAACTTAAAAAAAAAGATGAGTTCAGGAAAAAATAGAGAGGGTTACTAGGCCCTTTTGGTTGCTGATGGTTATTTGATCTCATGCATTCAACCAATTCTTAAAGCATCCCATAATATCTAATGGCTGGAAAGCGTGTTTCAGATGCTAAATACTCTTTATTTAGAAAAGTATCTGCTCTTCTCAGTCTTTTCTTTTACTTATTCTTAATTTACAATTGTATTCTCTCTTCTGTTGATCCTAAAGATTTCACTTGAAAGACCTACCAGATCTCTTTATCACATCCCTCCCAAACCTTTGATAAATTGTCCCCTAGTATTTTCCTCTGCTGAAGATAAAGTTCCTTGAACTTGGGTTTAAGTATAGGACATCCCTTCAAGCCCAATCCCCCTGAGCCATTCCCAGAGCAAACATGAATTTTTAAGACAATACTCTATAAGAAATATTTCTAATGCCATGTACAATTTTAACAAATTCCCAATGTTTGTATAGAAGAACATTATCATCTTGTAGCTTGATCTATTCAGATCTCAGAAACTTAGCAAGGATGGGCATGGCTTGTACTAGGATGAGCCACCACTAAAGAAAACCAGGCTGCTAATGTATGTGATGTTGGTGAAGCAGTAGTTAGCACCCTTTCCTCTGGACAAGAACATCCAATCCAATGCCCCAGTATGATACCTTACGATCCTGTACTATAGGAAGCAGGAAGTAGGAAAAACTAAAATTTCAACTTAATTCAGCTGGTGGAATAATATTCAATTTCCCCACTTTTTCTGGGGTGCTGTGTAGTGTCAACACTGTAAACTGGCTACCAATTGTTAAATCTATACTGCAATTTGGAACAAAGCTTTTTTGTCCTTTCCCTCCTGCTGAGGAAAAAAAGATTATGTAAAATGTTGAATTAACATAATTTTAAAGTAAAATATGGATTAACACATCTGTAGTTCCTTTATGTAGAGGATCCTCTGTTTTGTATTTAAAACATAACTACATGAAATGGCACTATGTTCTGTATATTATACATTAGTTCTCAGATATCTGCCCACTCCTGGATAATATATAAGGGTGAGGTTAAGTGAATATATAGCTGGGTATAAAAGTAAGCAGTGCATTTCAGATCCACTGCCTTTTATGCAAAGCACCAGAATTTAGAGCAGAGAAAGTCCAAATCCCAAAAACATTCCCCTGTGATTTACTGTGATTCAACATACAGCTGGTTTCACTACTGACATTGTTACACCGTAACATCACTAATTTTGAAAACACATGTGAATCACAACAAATTAAATGAGTAAAACAAACTACATAAAAGGAATGGGCAAATTTACATGAAATTAAACTATGGAACTTTAAACGTTTTTTTAGATTGCCACAAAATATTTAGCAATGGATTTATTGTTGGAAATTTTCCCTTATTAATCATACACAACAGGAGTGGGTAATCTTAGCACCATTAGATTTTAAATTTCCAATGTCTTTATAGAACAACAAAGTTTTTCGAACAGCATGCAAAAGAAAGTACTATATATTTTCATAGTTAAAAAAGTTACATACAGTTATGTACTGCATGTAACATGATACAATAAAAATAGAATTAATTCATTTTATATTGAACGGTTTTACTGAATCCAGATCAATTGTAGATTGGATGTAGATTTGTGTTTGTCAAATGTCGGTGGGTTCTAGTGTGATATAATATAAAATGAATTAATTCAGCTATAGATTGCTGAAGTATCTGTGCTATAAACAATAGAATATTGCAACTGACTAAAAAACGTGTTTACCTGGGTTTTAACATGAAGCTAACAGTTTTTCTAAATTGTACTTCTGCTTCAGCTTTCTTGCATTGCTTTCTTGTCCAATTAAGAGTAATGTATGAGATAATCTTGCTTACCCTTAAGGCCTTGAATTGATTAGCTCCAGAGTACATTAGTGACTTACTACCTCTTATTATCCCTCCAAGTTATTTGCTGGAGTTTTTTTCCTCAACAGAAAAAAGGTGAAACCTTGGAGACTCTGCTTTTCTGGTCTCCTGCCCCTAGGCTCTGGGATTCTCTTTTGTCTTACCTTAGATCCTGTAGGTCTGTTGGTATATTTAAATCTTGTTTAAAGCACCGTTTAAATGTTTTATTGTAAATCACTATATTTTGTTCTCACATCAAAAGCACTATCTATACCATTGTAGTCGTCTTTGGAAACAAAGATTCTGATTGCCCTGCTTTCAAGGGATCGAATGTGATATTTTAATCTTTGTTAACTTCTTCATCCTTTCCCTCCTATGCGATATCAGCTTAATGTTTATAAAAGGCCAGCGACAGTTAACTACCTCTGTATGTGCTATTGCCCTTATGACAGTCTGAGTACAGTCTAATTTGTCATCAATCGGTGCTTTGTGTATCCTGTATCTGAGCGTGTCAGTCCTTGCAAAATTGGGCATCATCAACATGCCCACCCCTCGGCCCCGCACCCACCGACACACGCACGATCACAGAACACAGAAGCGCACACGCGAATCAGATCATGTTATTGTCACCTCTGTGTCGACATGCTTCTAGAGGAATTAAGAGTAGCCCATGTGTATGCTTTAACTTTTGCGTGGGGGGGTGACTATTATCTCACATATAGCCAGCAAAACGCCACCCCCACAGACTGTAGTCCTCGAGTCTGCCCTAGAGCGTGTCGTGCATGGAGGAGAGACAAAAATAGTAACTATCTGCCTTGTTGCTATTGCCTACTGCCCACGCTGCACTGTATAGTAGATGATCAAACTGATTCCATTTCCCACCTAGTAATGTGTAACAATATACTGCTAAGAATGATAGAAATCTCTGTACTACCCACGCCTGCTCTGCAGCACCTACCAGTCTGAAGGGATGTTAGAATGGTTTTAGAGGTTCTTTTGTTAAACGCCGAAAAGGGCTTTAAAAAGAATGATACAATTCAGCAGTGTCAAAAGAGGACACTGGCTAATTAGGTGAACATTTTTGTTGTAATTCGATTTTTTCGAGTGTAAAACCAGGTATTAACTACTTACAGTACATCAGTGTTGTGCGTTTCCATATCCGTTTTTCTTTCTGTGTAAAATACGTTTATTCAAAGTTAAACAGTTCACGAAATGTGGATAAGCTACTGTATAAAGGTCTACTATTAATAGCCTTTCTTGACACCTGCAGCCTTAATTTGCCCCAAGATATGTGGCTATAGAGAGGGAACAAGGAGTGGGGAAGAGTAACATTCCAAAATGTTCAAATCGAGGATTGCTCACAAACAGCAGCCGCTGAACCCTCAAGAAATATTAAAAAGTACGGAGTTAGAGAATAAACGAAAAGACTGCAGCTGCTTGAACGGGTATTCTCTTCCCAGCAAAGTGCTGTAATACCGAAATGTATTATACCAGTCTAAAAAATAAGTCTCAATGTTCTTCAGTTATCAGCTGTATTTTGACCCATCACTTATCTCGGGAGAAGCACCCTGTGAGACATGGTGCTCGACAGTGCTTCACAAATTGGCACTCACTTTATTGTGAATGGGAATAACCAAAACATAATATTTTACATTACAACAACAAGCAGTTACACTGCATCGTATTTAATTCACAAACAAGTCCATTTTTGTGTATTTAAAAACAAACATCAAAATCCTTCTGCTCCATGTGTTCACTACCTAGTGCTATAGCACTTTGACCTTATACAAGTTACAGCCTATTTTTTTAATTCAATGAGCTTCAGAGAACAGAAACACACAAGTAAATTAATCATAGGAATTACAGTCTGTTGCAAATTAAACAATATGCATACCAATTGTTTAATCTATGCCCCTTTATTTTGTAATAAGGTTTCAAACTGAATTTAATAAAAAAATAGTTGTTCAGGTTCAGATGTGCAGATTAATATACGCTAAGTGGGCCTAAGGTGATCGAATGGTTGTTTTGTTGCGAAAAAAAATACATTCTAGGTAAAAAATAACCACTTTGAAATTTTATATCTTTGATTTATTTGTTAGCCTTTGTTGTTTCATTAATCTTGTGCCTATAATCCTATAATACAAACCTGTTTCTCGTAACTGCGACGCCCTTGAATGCTTTGCTATTTAAAATGAAGACATTGCATTTTAGAATGATTATAAGAATACCAGGGATTAAGAAGCGATTAACCCTACATTTAATTAGGCAATTATGTATACAGTATTTAAATACGCGCTTCGTTGGGAAGCTGAAAATAGCTTTTAGACAATTTGGGAAACAAAACAGTGAAAAAGAGAGCTGTTTAAAAAATTGTATTTAATAAACTTAGATATATCGTTATTTCTCTAGTCATCGAATTAAAGTATGAATTTTGGAGTTGAATTCAGAAAAATATACGAGAATGTATTATCGTAGGCTGATTTCGGAAGTACTAGTTTTTATACACGAAAATACAGTTCCCCGTTTTCACCACAATATACACGTTTTTCGTTGTAAACAATTTTAATTATTCGTCTTATGAACGGCAACTTTGACTTTGTACTAAATATAATAGTTTTTGTATGCACACGGGCCAAAGTGTTTGCACTGCCGGACTGCAGCGCAGTAGTGTAACCGTCTATCTAAACAGAGTGCAATGTCACTGTGTATTTAACCAGAAGGAAACATGAGAACAAGGAAGGATCCCCCACCAAAAAAAAAAAACACCCTCCTCCCGCCTTTCCTTGCACAAGCTCCGCTTTTGCTGTTTGTTTGCACTCGGCTGATCCGGAGCGGAAATTCCTTTCCGTTTTTGTGAATGACAAACTTATTAACAATTCATCAACACAGTCTGTTCCATCCGGCCTCGTTTCCAAGACAACCCTCTCTTGGTGCGCTCTTATTGGCTGGTCTACAGAATGTATCCATTGAAACGCTCTGTGGTTGTATCCATTCAAGAGCTTGCCGCGGCTGCTGGCGTACAGAAAAGGATCAGCCTGCCCGCATAAGGAAAGGACGTACATTTAATGTGTGAGCCTCGACAAAGCAGGTCAAGACTTCAGAACGTAATAGGGTGGTATAAATTAACGAAGGTAACGATATAACAAACCAAACGACTTCTGCTTCGGATTTTCAATTCTTATTTTTTTGTACTACAAGAGCGAAGGCTGAAAACTTGTGCAACGGGAGGACAGAACAGTAAGCGGCGTATACTCTCTGCCATAGTAGCTATTGCATTCAGTGATTCATTGATAAATGCACAGGCACGCTCTGCAGAATCCTATGAATGAGGACTGGTGTAGGTCATCTGCAAATTAATATCAGAACCAACCTTTTCAGTTTAGCATGCCCAAAGGACAATCAAGGGTGTGAAAAAATTATTGCTTAATTAGCGAAATTGTTCGAAATTGATTTATTTTTTGTGTGTGCGGTTATTTCCTCAATGCCCTAGTGCTACCAGTTAAGGTGCTCGCATCTTTTCTATTGTGCAATTGTATTCTCCTGCTCTTTCGGAAACATTTTTTTTACTAATGCTAGATAAGTTGAAAACCGTTCATTTCGATTCGGCAATGGCGATCAGTAAGACCGTGGGTTGGTTGAAAGAGCAGCTCCAGACGAGAAGCGATAGCTTGCTGGTAATGGACTGTCGAGCCCAAGAGCTTTACGAGTCCTCGCATGTCGAGACGGCCATCAATGTGGCCATACCAAGTCTCATGCTCAGGCGGCTCAAAAAGGGCAACCTGCCTATCAAATCGCTGCTGGCAAACGGGGAGGACAAGGAGAAATTCGCCCGGAGATGCAAGACGGACACGATCGTGCTTTACGACGAGTACAGCAGGGACTGGAACGAAAATGTCGACGGAGGTTCGGTGTTGGGCTTGCTGTTGAGGAGAATGAAAGATGAAGGATACAGGGCTTTTTACTTGGAAGGTAAATATTTACTTATCATAATGTAATGTTCTTATTGAACCTTGAAACGTGTATTTAACTGCAAGCTAGAAATGCCACAGACCAGTAGTTCAAACGTTTGTGTCCAATATAAAATGTGTTTAGGATGATCAATTTAGCCCATTCAATTTTTGTGATGGTGTTGTTACCTATCATACAATAACCACTAGCTAGTTATCTGAATCAAAATCTCAATTTGGGAAATAATTTAGGATGTCATATGTATACCCATAGCCTACAGTAACGTGTTGTGTATTTGTAAAACAAAAATGTTTACTTATGTGAAGGTCTACCTGAGCCGCTGTGTTTTTCTGATTTATGTAGCAAATTGCAGCATGAAGTGAATATTCTATATAAAATTATTCTGATATGAATATCTTACTATATATTTTAATTTCTTGCGTGTGTACATCTATACTGATATATTTGGGCTAGTTTTATAATTGTAAAATGTGAAATTGTTTTTTTTTTTTTACAGGCGGCTTTAGTAAATTTCAAGCCGAATTCCCTGCCCTGTGCGAGACCAATCTGGACAGCTCTTCCACTACTAGTTCCCCTACCGCTCCGGTGCTCGGGCTAGGAGGGCTGCGAATCAGCTCGGATTCTTCAGACATCGAGTCCGACATCGACCGCGACCCCCACAGCGCAACCGAATCTGACGGCAGTCCCTTATCCAACACCCAGCCCTCCTTCCCCGTGGAAATCTTGCCTCACCTTTACTTGGGGTGTGCGAAGGACTCCACAAATTTGGACATCCTGGAAGAATACGGCATTAAATATATACTGAACGTGACCCCAAATCTTCCCAACCTATTTGAGAACGCCGGAGAGTTCAAGTACAAACAGATACCAATCTCTGACCACTGGAGCCAGAATCTCTCTCAATTCTTCCCCGAAGCCATAAGCTTTATTGGTAAGCACATTCTTATTTGAATTTATGGAGTTATTTTAAGTTGAGTGCAGAAAATGACAAGTTGTTAAACAACTGTTCTTCATTCTTTGCGTCATTTAAAAGTTGTGGAAAAAAATATGTCGGGGTTGAAAAACCTCATCAGATCAATATGATGAATAAGGAAATGGTATTAAGTTATTACCCGGGACAGTAAAGCCTCACAACGCATTCTGAAATGTATGAACATAAATACGAAATATCTTTAATATTTTAAATATAAAGTTTTCTGTAATTGAAAAATCAAAGCTTCGTATTGCGGTTGATTTTGTTTTATTGGAAAGTGATGTTACTGGGATTAGACGGACCACTTCATGAAGTTCAATTTGAATTAAATAATGGTGTTGCTGCTTGTTGTGACATCTTTCACTCTTATTAGAGTCCTAATCCAAGGTTAATGTAATTATAATACAAAGGGTTATATTGAAGCTGGAGGGGGGAGCCAGTAATTTGATCCCAGCAGGAAGGAATTTTTCCTGGAAGCAGCAGAGAAACTAATCTAGGGCATTGTAATGTGTTTCCTTTCACAAAGAAGACCATTTTCAGGGTATGTTTACATCCTGTTCCTGTTAATGGGCTGCCCCCATGACTTTCCCCTTACTCTGTTTAAATGCATGAATGTTTCCTTTGTCAAAGACATAGCAGTTGGAAGAATAATTTAATAGACCTTCAAAATTATTTTTTTCAAGTCTGAGACAATGCCGGGTTAAGATTTTTTCTTTATCCATGTTCAAACACTTCGGAATGTGTTGACTGAGGCTTTTACTGGAATTTGAGAGCGACTACAGTAATTGTTTTAATACAAGGAGAAACCTTTTCTCAGACCAGCTATTGAGTTTTTCATGCAGTAGTTTAATAGACTGAAAGGATGCATTTTAAAATATCAAAAGGTCTTTTGTTTTGCTTTTAGTCATCCTTTTACAGCACAAATAAACACTAATCTTCCTCATTCAAGCATACAAGAGGCTTAGTGCTGCGTCCATTTATATTTTCTTTATAGTTCTGCTAAACATTAGACTTAATTGTTGTTTTTTTATGTTCCAGATGAGGCTCGTGGCAAGAAGTGTGGAGTTTTAGTCCACTGTCTCGCTGGGATAAGTCGGTCGGTCACAGTGACTGTGGCGTACCTGATGCAGAAACTCAACCTGTCCATGAATGATGCATACGACATAGTCAAAATGAAGAAATCCAACATCTCCCCCAATTTCAACTTCATGGGTCAGCTGCTGGACTTTGAGCGGACTCTGGGGCTGAATAGCCCGTGTGACAACCGAATCACAACCCAACCCCTGTATTTCACCACTCCCACCAACCACAATGTTTTCCAACTCGACCCCCTGGAGTCTACGTGAGACCTGAAAAGCAGTGACCCGAAGACGACGGCTCCTGAAATTTTCTCTTCTGTCATGCGTGACATGATTTACACAGCTGGGATAAATGAACAGCTGCTGGGCATGCTTACTGAAAGGCGTGGCTGGCTGATGTGAGGAAGCAGCTGTTTCGGAAAGGGAGTTCTACCTTATGCTCTCTCTCTCTCCTTCTCTTGGACTCAAAGAGTTTTACTTGTCCCAAAGGCTAGAAGTTAAAGGTGCACAGTTGCATGTGTGCAGCAGACTGGGAAGCTGAGAATTCCAAAGAAATGTGGCTGGTTGAACTTGAAATGGTATTAGCACAGGCACCTACAAACTTGGTACACTTGGGTGCTCTTTTTCTTGTCTTCAGTGAAGACGTGCCTGAAATGAGAACTGAATACTTTGCTAAAATAAAGGCACAAGCTTTTGCTCTCCATTTTTTCATGGAGCAATGTTGAAAATGTGTGTATATATTCTGTATATATGTCTGTGTTATGAATGAATAGTAAAGCCCTGCCCTTGTATGTCAGAAAGGCCCTTTAAAAATCAGTGAACACTGATGTATTTTTGTTTTCCATTTCATTTAAGCAACTAGAATATTGATCAATATAATCATTTAATATGCCAAAACAAATTGCATAGGCTTTCAAGATTTTAATTCTGCATATACAGTACATATATAATATATTTTGGATTACATTTAACTGCTTTCTGATGGTAAAGGTGTGGGTTTGATGTAAAGGACTTTCTTTTGCAACCTTACGCAGAAATCTGAATCATCTTGGTTTTCATGCCTTAGTTATGTACATAAAAGTAGAATTACTGTGTTAGCCCTCATTGGAATCACCATGATGCTCATCAGATCACATTAAATTTAAAAAGAAATCATCTATGTACATTTTTCACCACTACTTCATTGTGAAGAGTATACAGATCTACAATAGAATGATGCATCTTCAGTATTCTGTTTAAAATTATGAATTTGTATTGTTCTGGTTATTTTTTAAAATGTGTATAAACATACAAAGCCTACGGTATATAAAGGTGATCTGAGTCCAAATGAGAGTGCATGCTACTGCTTATGTAATTCAGATATGTTCTTTATAAGATCTAGGGCATCCATTGGGGATTAATACATATACCCCAGTTTTTATATTTATTGGGACCTCAGAGGGTTAAAGCTTGTATTGTGCATTTCTGTAGAAGGCTCTAATTGCAGTTTTTGCAATAGAACCTGGATAATTGAGAGGTATTACCTCTGTTTTCCACTTCAGGGATGTTATATTGTATTGAAAAATGCAAAGTTTTGTTAAAAGGAGACAAATAATTGGAATTAGTTTCGGGTAACCCTGAGGAGCTGGCAAAGGGGGAATGAGACTGTGCCCTTCACTTTCATCGACCTGCTGTATGATGCAGGATATATAATCTTAAAAATGTATAAAAGAAATAAATTATTAATAAAGCACTATTTTGTCTATTCAGAAATGAAACTTGGCTCTTGCATTTTTTGGATTCATTGGATATCTTTTTTGAAATTGTGAAATCTTATACAAACACAGTGTGCTATGTAATACCAAAAGTTTATAAATAAGATTAGTGGATTTTTTAGGAAATTATTTTGTGTGAAATATTTGCCAGATCAATATTACCCCAATTGGATCAGTTTTGTTAACCTGGAGGAATTTTACACATTAGTTTAGAACTGCTGAGGGACATGATACATGCTGTATACAGTATAGTCAGATAATGATGCCTTTAACCACAAGTCTTTAAATATCCAGTGGTCAAGAGGTTGGTGAGATTCTTTCCAAATTTCTTTTTGATTCAGCTTTGGGCTTTCAATTTATGTGTTTTTGAATTTAAGAGCTAAACAGATAAAGAATATGCATTGTAAGTCAATCAGTTGGTTAAGAGAACAGGCTTTTCTGTGTGTCATTACAAAAGTCTATTTAGTACTTTGGTTTATTCCAGCAATGGCAACTTTATCATACTGTATCGCTTGGCCCATGTATTGCAGTTCCGCAGTAAAAAATTCTAAAGATGTTACAAGGTTTCTTAGACAAGACCCAAAAAAGGCTGAGTTTAGGGGTTTCTTGAGACTGGTTTATAATCATATGGTCCCCTACTGAACTCTCACCAAGAATCGACCTTGAGAGTGGTGGTGTTCTGTTTTTTTAATTCCTTACAAATGTTTTCAGTTAGCAATTATAGCCTTTTCAAGCACTTTTATACCTCCTTTCTGTTTCCAGCACAGAGTTGGGGAACAACCTGTTTTTATGGATACAATGTACTTGAACTTTGCTTACCTTTAGGTCTTATTCAGGTGCAATCTAATTCCTCAATCTATCCACAAGTCAGGTTTACTATTAAATATATTTACCAGGTTGCCTATCAAGTTTCTCATTATGTGGCCTGTTTGCTACTTGAACCTCTAACACAAGAAAAGTGGTGACAGTCAACGAAAACACCTCCATTGTGAAATACACTTGGTGCAGAATAGGCTTTTAGGATTTGAATGTCAAAAGGCAGTTTTAACAATCATAGAATGTTGCAATACAGGTGGAGTTAAAGAAAACAAAACATCCCACCACTGGTTACCAGGTGGAGTGCCACCTGGTTGGTAAATGTTTTCAGCCTCTTAATCTTGCTACCTGTTTATAAATCTCCACTTCCTATTATTTAATCTAGGGCTACAAACAAAATCTGTTTAATAAATGTATGACTCGCTGAAAAGCAGATTATATATGATCTCTCATATCCGTGAAAACATTCTGAAGATTAATTAATGATTCATTGGTGTTCCTTATTATTCTTAATAATTTAATGTTGTTTTAATGAAAGGTTTTTCAGTACTGAAACCCAAACATATAAAAATACATAAACTGTTAATAATGCACTTTTTTATGTTTAATACGTCAAATTTGAAAATGAACAACCATCGACAACCAGTTATAATATGCAGTCTAACCATTTAAACTTACAGTGTTCTTTAATTTATTTACATATCTTTTCTTTCTAGAAGGGTTATGTACAGCCAAAAATCTATCTTACAGAGCTGGGGGAGGACAGATCTGCTGCATGTTACATTTTTTATGGATGGTGTACATATGGAGAGGAGCACCTATTTACCAGTTAAAATGGTAAGTACAAGACGGAACATTCCAAAGAGACAGGACAGTTGGAAGATGTAGCACTATATGTCAAAATGAGTAGTCAGGCACAGGAACTTAACCTAAATGATTCAAGGATCTTGTAATCTATATGGCTATGAAAACATTCAAAGGCCTTCGTAGTGTTAGGCATATGTTCTAGATCATCATATTTGTACTATAATGCAGGTGAATGTAATGAAATGCGGGTGTAAAAAGGAAGAAACATGTTAATCATTGGGTATTTTAATTTTCATCACGTAGATTGACATTGGGGATGTCAGCAGCTGAAACTGAAATAGTAGGCATGGCTATCAACGGCTTCCTTCAGAACAGCTACTGGAAATGCCTGTATTGTGCAAATGTTTCCAAACAATCAAGATAGTTTGATGAAAACGGATGTGAGAAAAACAATAGAGACCTGTTATCATAACAGGGAATGCTTTGAAGTATTTCTTGAAAATATACACGCAGATTTAAGATATCGGGAAAGCAGACAATGAAGGAATGAGAGAGAATTTAACAGACATAGAATAGATAAGATACTGTAGATATGAAATCTGTAAACAATGTATGGAAACAGTTTTAAGATATTGTGCTTGATACACAAAATAGGTTAATCTCATGTAAATCAAAAGCTCGAACAAAATAAAAATCAACTTTCTAGAATGATTTATCATTTAATCATTTTTATGACTTAAAAACAGCATCCAATTAAGGAAACAATAAATTACAAGCAAAAGTAAAAAATGATATTCAGGAGAGAGACAAAAAATTATATTGGAATGCAGGCTAAAATCCAAATAGCTTTTTCAGTATTACAACAGCAAAAGAACAGTCAAGGATGAAGCAAAGTGTCTCAGAGATATAGGATACAAGATCTTATAGAAGATGAAAGGGATATGGCTGATGTATTCCATGAGTATTTCACACAGGAATTTACCAAAGAAAAAAAATGCTTTGTAATGTTTTAAGAGAAAAATTGACAAGGATTGTTAGGGTAGACCAGATAGTATAAGATGGGGTATTGGTTTTGGAAATTTGGTTCGGAGGGAAGCCATTTTACTTTACATTTAACCACAACTGATACTTTCTTAGATGTTTCCCATCCCAGTACTGACTAGGCCCAGCTTTGCATAGCTTATGTGATCTGATGATATCAACCTAGAACTCTGGCAACACTCTTGTCGAATAGATAACATGCCTCATGTTGTTTTTCCCATGTTCTCATGGTTTTCCTCTGGGTGCTCCAGTTTCCTCAATCTAAAGACATACTAGTAGGTTAACTGGCTTTTGGGACAATTGGCCCCTTTATGTGTGTGTCTGTGTCTCCCCTGTGACAAACTGGCATCCTGTCCAGGGTTTGACCTGCCTTGTGCCTGTTGCTTGCTGGGATAGGCTCTGGTTCTCCGCAACCCTGTATTGGGTAAAACAGAAAGGAAATAATTAAATAATTAATAATTGCCTACACTTATATAGCGCTTTTCTGGACACTCCACTCAAAGCGCTTTACAGGTAATGGGGACTCCCCTCCACCACCACCAATGTGCAGCATCCAACCTGGATGATGCGACGGCAGCCATAGTGCGCCAGAACACTCACCACACATCAGCTATCAGTGGGGAGGAGAGCAGAGAGAAAGACCCTATTCATAGATAGGGATTATAAGGAGGCCATGATTGATAAGGGCCAATGGGAAATTTGGCCAGGACGCTGGAGTTACAGCCCTACTCTTTTCGAGAAACACCGTGGGATTTTTAATGACCAGTCATTAGTCAGGACCTCGGTTTTACGTCTCATCCGAAGGACGGTGCCGATTTAAAAAAGGTCTATTAATAAAAACAATAGTATTTAATTGAATTGTTTTGAGAATTGAAATGAGATCTCTTAGACTATATTGGTTTTCTGCTGGCCTCAAATGAATCAGACTGAAAAATGAAAACAATCTTCCAGAGAAGATTCTGAAAATTTAACTCAGCATTGGCATTTGGTAAAACTGTTTGGAACAAACTACCAGGATACAATAATAGGCCACTTGAATTGAAAAACTATGGGACTAAAATTAAGAAGAAGAGCTGATCTCAGGGTGAACAGAAAGGCCTGATGTTTGGCAACCTGTTGCCTTATGAGACAATTATGTCGATATATCAGTACTTAACAAGTATTTGAATGAAGAAAACCTAAAGAATCATGTGATACAAGACATGCAAGCAAGTGTGAAACAGTATGGTTAAGAGAACAAGAGGTTTGGAGTGTTCCACTATAAAAATAAGTGGAATAAAACATGTGTGAGAGTGCTTAGATTGGAATTTAAAATGAAGGACCTGGAATCATGCTTCTGAAAAATCCAGCAGCAGATGCTACATGCTTAGTAAAGAAAGAGGTAGAACTGTCTTAGAATTTCCCTATGTTTCAAACTGTTGAAATCCCTATTCTTTTTTAAAATAAAAATAGTGATATTGAACACAAAAGACTGATGTTTTAAGAACTCATCACATTAGGTGATAGCAATTATTAAAGAGTCCTGGAGAGAAAAATGTCTGAAGTTTAAGCTTTAAAGTTAGATTTTCTAAACTCTAAAGTTCAATACTAAAGTATTTATTGAACCTTCATTTGAGTTCATGGGTCATATTTATGAGACTAAAATAAATGTCACATGTTTAGGTTGAAATTTCAAGTGTAAAAACAGTTAAATTGTATTTCAAACAGAACATTTGAAGGTTTTTTTTCTTGACTTAATTCCCCTCTGTTATGGGTATAATGATTAACTCATCATGAAGGTTATTTTTTATTTATGCTGCTTCTGAGCAGTAATAAAAAGATAAAAAATTAAGCTGTTAAAAATCCCCACTGCAGTAAACATTATCTCTGCAAAAAAGTCATGTAGTTAGTTAATATGTAATTCCAATCAAGTCCATAGTTCAACAGTGATAGTTATTCAATGTAATTTGGTGCATAAAGTCTTATCAGATTTCTTTTTGAAAACCCAGAGAGAAGGAATGTGTGTGTGGGTGTATATGGAGGTGGGTTGGGGGCACTGTGGTTTGTTTGGAAAATTTCTTGAAAGGCTAAAGATTGGATTGGGAAAATTCCAACATGCATACCTTGTACAAAGATAATCTGATAATTTTGCTTTTTTCATGATTAGACATCTGTTTTCAGTATGGAATTCCACATTTTTCTGAATAAGTGTTTATCTGTAGGTGCTGTCAGGGGACAGTGTACATAATGATAAACACCCATCACCTTTTAAACATTCAGTCCCAATACACTCAATTTATTTAATTTAGGTTACAGTATCGTTGCATATATACCATTATACCTTTATGATAAACCAACTG